TTTCTGCATTGTCTTGGTAATCAGAGTTGATAGAAATGAGAATGACTCATCTTTACACACGATAATAATGTTCCTGTTGTACCTTTTTCGAGTTAACCCAATGCCACCGGGGAAAAATTAATAAAAGATTGGGAAAATGCTGTGCTCATTTTTTTATATTTTATCTGAAATGTCTCTGCACGTTGATGGCTCTGCTAGTGCTTAACCACAAAGGAGTCGATGAGTAGACCTTGTGACCTTACCTAATTTCACCTTTCCTTGAATTGCCGGAAAAAGATTATTTTTTACTAGAGCTATAGATATTGATGGTATTATTTTTATTATAAATATTATAATTATGATAGTGTTATAAACATTAATAACAGCAAAATAAGATAACGTAAAATAGGAAAAGGGTAAACGGGCGAGACAGGCAGTACTCATAATCAGCTCATTGGTGACTTAGTAAAAGTGTAGCCATCTTTGGGTAAAAACAATTAATAAAGTAAAGTGAAAGTGTAGCCATCTATGTGTAAAAAAATTAATAAAGTAAACTCACTATGGGTATGACATGCACATGCCATGCCCGTTGCCATTGGGTTAAGGGTTCATGGTACATAGATATTATGATTACAGAAGTATTCCTAAATACAGTTAAACTTCTTATAATACAGCAGCAATTACTGGATTTATGAATCACCATTGGTACTTTTAGCCTTTAAAAGTATCCTCTGATTATAGGTTTTCTATTGAAAAGTACCAGTTACTGCCACTGCTATGAAAGGGGCCCCAAAACTACCAACAATGACCCTAGCAGATTCACCATTATTTTGGAGGGCTAGAAATGCTAAAGATACAACCAACAGTTCTAGAGCTATTTTCATTGTGGTTACAGTAACTGGTCCTTTTTAGCAAACAAAATTACAAGGGGAGGAAAATTTTGAAGAGCCATCAGTATTTTCCAATTACTTTCAGATACACTGTATATCAGTTTACAAGGCTATTTTGTGCTTAAACTGACTCCCAGAATTTCCTTTAAAATACACTTGCTGCTTAATACTCTCCCAAGTCAGATGCCTACTTGCAGAGAGCTTCCTGCATTGATAAGTCCTCTACTAATTAACCCCTGGATCTGGGTGCCTCACGACTTGAATATGAACCAAAATCTTGGCATTAGGCTTGCTTTAGTGGCAAAGCTCCCTGGTGTGATGAATATAGACCTTAGAAATTGGCAAAACATCCAAAACGCATCTGCAGAAGAATAACTAATAGCATAGCAAAAAGTAGGCAAGATGTCTTGATACCACATGTAAGTGTTTGTGAAAGCAGGGCCTAGAAGCCACACTCCCAGGAGAGTCATATTCAAGTATGCTTAACCCAATGCCGACGGGCATGACGTGTACGTATATGCTGTGCCCACTGTGAATTATTTGTTTGTTTTTACACATAGAGGACTACATTTGTACTAAGTCACCAATGAGCCAGTTACGAGTACTGCCTGTCTCGACCATTTACCCTTTTCTTTGATCTGCGAAAAGATTTTACATTATCATATTTTGCTGTTACTAATGTTTATAACATTATAGTGATGATAATGTTTATAATAAAAATAACACCATCGATATTCATTGCACTACTAAAAAATACATTTTCCCGCCAATTCAAATCACGTAAGGTCACAAGGTCTACTAATTGACTCCTTTGTGGCTAACCACTAGCAGAGCCATCTATTTGCAGAGACATTTCACAAGAAATATAAAAAATGAGCACAGCATTTTCCCCGTTTTTTATTCATTTTCCCCAGCGGCATTGGGTTAAGACAAGTCTGGAGGTGTCCCACATGTGCAAGGACCATCTTTAGATTGTCCTTATAAGATGCTTACAACTATACTGTACTTAACCCGTTGCCACCGGGGATGGCATGTATGTACATGCCATGCCCACTGTGAGTCGACTTGTTTGATTATTGATTATTTTTAAACATAGATGGCTACACTTGTAGTAAGTCACCAGTGAGCCAATTACGAGTACTGCCTGTCTCGCCCATTCACCCTTTTTATCGATTTACAAAAATACTTAACGTTATCCTAATTTGCTGTTAAAAATAACACCATCTATATTTATAGCACTAGTAAGAATACGTTTTTTCCTGCCAATTCAAGGAAAGGTGAAATCAGGATTAGCAGAGCCATCTATGTAAAGAGAGATTTCACAAAAATATAAAAAATGAGTACAGTATTTTCCCCATTTTTTGTTCATTTTCTCCGGCGGCAATGGGTTAATGGTTGTTGAAGATAACTCTTCAACAGTAATGATAAAAACTTTCCTGACACTTTTTTACTTTTTGTCAGACATTTATTGGGATGTTTCCTCCATAATTCTCATGAATAAATGCAAATGGCACCTCAGCTGATGCATTGATGACAAATTTAGAGGACGTTATATGAATATGTAAAAGATATTAACCCAACCACCCCGGATTCATGCTTTGCCCCCTGAATTTTTTTGTGAATTTTGTTACATATAGATGGCTCCACATCTGCTCAGCCACCAAGTAGTTACCAATCCTGATTTCCCCATTCTTTGAATTGGCGGGAAACTGTGTTTTTCTTTATAAGACAATTGATATCGATACTGTTATTATTGTTACTGATGTTATGATTATTAGATTGTTATTAAAATCTTGGTAACATTTAAGACAATGAAATAATGCAAAAGACCCTTTCCAAAAGTCAAGGAAAGGGTAAGTAGGTGAGATAGGTAGGATTAAGAACTGACTCCTTGGTGACTAAGCACTTCTAGAGCCATCTATGTTTAATTACAATAAGTTAACTTGCATTACAGTGGGCATGGCATGTACTCTTGCCATGTGAGGCAGTTGGGTTAAGTAGGTAATATTTTAGTCATTATATGCTTGACATTCATTGCAGTAGATATTTTATTTCATTATACATTATTAAAGGGTCTTTTAAAATGTGAATATTATTACTAGTCAAATGTTAACCTTGAAATGTGGCACAGAGCGAGTTGGAAATGAAATTTTTAAGTATAGTCTTTAAAACAAGGTGTAGACCAATTCTACTATGGTTTTGGAGTTGAAGAAACATTTTTAGGACAGTCCTTAAATTGGTCTGAAAATTCTATGACCTTTCCTGTGAATACTGCCCCAGGTCATGATTAATTTATAATTATAATTCTAATTTCCAATACAAATGTTTAGTGGCAACACCATAAGAATTGTGTGTGTATTTTACACTGTTCTCCATTACCATTGGTGAATTTATAAGATGCCATCAACATGAGCTATAACTTCAGATACATATGACCCCTGTTTTTGGGTGATATTTTGAAGGTTCAAAGTAAGTCTTAGATGCCAAAATAAATGGTAATGAACAAATTGGATATATATTATCTATATTTTTAAATGTATGATTTGTATTTTTCTTACAGCTGTCATACATGCTCTGCCAGTACCCCTTCTTTGTTTGCCCCGTGGAATACAGTGAGGCCGAAGATAGTTTCAAATATGATTGTGACCCGTCGCCTATCTTCCGACCTCAGGAGTACAGCTTGCCAGAAACAATGGCCAATTTTTCAGCACTGGTATGTCAAGAAATTATCTTTGATAACAGTTTAAAGGAAATGTTTCAGCCTGACAAAGCCAGTGAATCTTACTTTTACATAGATATTTATCACCATGCCAGTTTAAATCAGATGTGCTTGGTATCAGAAACATTTTGGCAACATATAATTTTTTTTTTTTTTTTTTTTTTTTTTTTTTTCCAAACAACTTATGTACAATATTTCATAACAAAATAATCCTGTTTATAAATTAGTATATGGAGTTCTTTTTTATCAGTTTGAACTCATTTGTTAGTTTAGAGGTGCTTGAATATTTTTAATAGTCTATTTTTATCATCACTATAGATAAAATTGCAAAAGGAAACAGTTGTGTCAGCAAATGTGTGTGATCAGTTTTGTATGTTTTGTAACATGATAAGGAAAAGGAAACCACATTAAGAAATTAAGTCAAATTCGCAAGTTGTCGTTCTCGTCACAAGTTCCACATCAGACAAACCAATAACCTTTATTTCCATTATTTGTTCATCTGAGGAGGAACTCCTGACAAGTTTGAAATGTCACGGCTCAGTTTCATTTCATTTCGTGAGTGTTTCCTTTTGTTACTGCGGTTGTGTTCGTGTTCATAAAAGGACCTGTTGTAAGGAATTTAAAATAGTAATTTTTTCACAAGTATTTTTTTCTTACCAGGAACCATTATTATGACAACAATCTCTTTTGCAGCTTGGATGGAAGAAAACAGTCACACTGTATCCATTTGTGCTTCATTCAGTTGCACTGTCGTTGTTCAGCAGCGTCATAGGTCCATTTGGTGGATTCTTTGCCAGCGGCTTCAAGCGAGCCTTCAAGATTAAGGTCAGGAGGATGGAACTAAAGATATTTGTGTATATGCAGTCATAGATTTGAAAGGCTTAGGGTATATTCTTATGTGAAATATCATGGTAATGGATTTAAGAGAGTAATGTTCTTGCATGTTAAAAGTCTAGCTTTAGAAATTAATTTTATCTTGCCCTATTAAGGGTTAAAATAAGCTCTGCGCTAATTTGTCCAATCTATACCCAGGACTTCGGCGATGTGATCCCAGGACATGGTGGGATGATGGATCGCTTCGATTGCCAGTACTTGATGGCCAGTTTCGTCAATGTGTACATCATGACATTTATCTCTGAGACATCTCCTCAGAAGCTATTACAAAAGGTGATTATTTTTTTTATTTTTGGTATGCGTGCTCTCTCTCTCATACACACACTCTCTCTCTCTCTCTCTCTCTCTCTCTCTCTCTCTCTCTCTCTCTCTCTCTCTCTCTCTCTCTCTCTCTCTCACCCACTCACTCACCCACT